AAAGTACCAAAATTTCCACAAAACTTGATATTTCTAATGATGTAAGTATTAAATATTGAATGGTTGTAATTTGGTCATTTACTCAGTACTTTAGTCAACTTTTTTACTGAATATTTTTCACTCGTAGATGAGTAATATTTTTGATCCTCAGCACATTTGAAGTTTCTCACGGCACTCAGCTGCACCGGAAGTCGAATCAGACATGTAAACTGAAGCGGATGTGATGCAATCTGCAGAGTCAGGAAACGACCAGAAGCTTCCGGCTCAGATCAGCAAACCGCCTGAACTGCAGCGTCGATTCAGCTTCATGTTTTACTGCTGGACATTTTCACATCCAAATGTGTGAAAACAAAAGTTTCTGGTTCTGCTGGTTGAGCAGCGGGTCCGTTTCCACTCCCATCCTCGGAGCTGCTGCCCCCTTGTGGAGAGGAGGACTCATGCGCCTTTCGATTATTCTGACGATTAACCACTTCATTCTATTTATACTTAAGACAAACATTAAAAATACAAACAAACAAATAACTGAACCCATTTCTAAAAAAGAAAATGAACATTTCTAAAAATGCCTAAACACGTCTTGAAGATTTGATTGTTTAAAAAATGCTTCAAAGTGAATTTGAGAAAAGCATCAACACAGAATGATTATCTATTAATTATTTATTGATTAGCTGATTAATAATTTGATAGCAAAAGGAGTCAAATAGATTTTTTTATTATTATTATTTGAAGAAAGTGAAACTGAAGCAGCCACTGGAGGAATTCTGGGTAAAACCAACTGAAACGCCAGGAAAGAGTTTTTTATTTGAAATGTAAAATGTTTTTATTTTTTATAGTTTTGGTTTAATTTCTGCTCTTTCAGGAAATAACCTTTTCTTTTTTGTCTTTTCACTCTAATTATTAAGGAATTACTAAATTAGTTGATGTTTATTCCAGTAATGGATTAATCATCTTAACCACTCTTTTATTCCAGCTTTATGAATCTGGTTTATGACTGGACATATCGATAAATTAAGACAATTACATTGTGACTGGCACACAATGTAATTGTTATGTGACCCCTTGTTTGACATAGACTGAATATACTTGTTTAGACATCTGGAATATAATTGCATGAGACTGATGTAGTGGTAAATGTCATGAAGTGTCATGGGGTGAAGATGGATGAAGTGGAGGAAGCAGGTGGCTGAGTGGTGATGACTAACATCCAGGCAGCACAGACCAGCTAAAGCTAATCTGTGGTAGCAACTGGTGAACAGTAACATGAGACAACAAGACAGTTGAGAAGGACCTGAAAAGAGATCAATAAATACACAGAAGGTAATGAAGGGAACCAGACACAGATGGGATCCAGGGGAGACGGGACAACATGGAAACTCCACTGACCCAGGATCCTAAATAAACTCAAATCCTCACCGGTGATCCCTGCTGATCCGCCGTTTCGCTCTGCTTCCCTGCAAATGTTGGATTGAATCAGCCAATGCCTGAACTGCAGAGCCATAAGCACCCACAGCCACCCTTTGAAAAGCATCAGTGGAGCCTCCTCCACATCCATCCAGAATACAACAAGTCACCAAATAACTCTTGTCTTTTCAAGCAGCATAAAAAACTGGCTGACCAGATCCTGGAGATCCGCTGGGGTTGCTAGGTAACGATTTAGTGCCGGTGAAATTTGACTGAAGGTTTTTTTTAAATGTTTCAAATCATAAAGTTATTACCAGAAACCAGCTGAACGTTTTAAAGTGCTTTGGCTGATTTTAGACCCAAATGTTGGAGATGACAAAATGATTGTTTCCATGACAACGGTTGATGGTCAAAATGGCAGTTTTGTTGTGTTTGTTCCACTGAATGTTTCCTCTGATCCGATTGAAAACGGGTCCAGAGCGGTTCTGAAACGGACCGGTACCCGTTGTCCAGTAGACAGAATAAATGGATCTTTTCTGTCGGGGAATCACAGCTCAGGTATCGTCTGACACAACAGAGCCGCTTCCTGAATCCCCAGAAGAAGAAAAACTCCTGACTGCTGGTGTTACTGCAGTTCATGTTCCCTCAGCGCATCCGGTTCCCTCAGCGGATCCGGTTCCCTCAGCGGATCCGGTTCCCTCAGCGCATCCGGTTCCTCAGCGGATCCGGTTCCCTCAGCGGATCCGGTTCCCTCAGCGCGGTTCCCTCAGCGGATCCGGTTCCCTCAGCGGATCCGGTTCCCTCAGCGGATCCGGTTCCCTCAGCGGATCCGGTTCCTGGCGCCCACTAGTGGCGTGGTGAGAGCTTTCCACCTTTTCGATGTGAACCGTTCCAGATGGTGATCAGAACGTCTTATATAAATGTAATAACAGGAACAAACGTTCCATGTTTGTTGGTTTTAAATTGTGAAAACAAAGTCATGATCATTCAAGAATAAAGTTCCTAAAAATATGAGAAAAAAGTTTTTTTTGATAGTTTAGAAGGTGTGAGCCAATCCTGATAATTGATTCTCTAGAATCAATTATTTATTTACCGACATCTGAAAACGAAGAATTGACGATTTAATAGATCAACCAAACATAGCAAGATGCTAAAAATGACACATTTTAATGCAAATCTCAAATGTTTGACATTATTCTGATAGTTTAATAAGAACTCTGTGCATGCACATATATATTTATAAAGCGGTGCACCATGGGGGCCAGGAGGCGCCCGGCCTCCCTCAGGAGCCGCCCCTGGTTTTAGTCTGCAGCGGCTCATGCTGCAGCAGAAAAGCAGCCATGATGTTTCAAACATGAATCAGGTTTTTTCCGGCTGATCGCAGAAACTCGGAGCTGCGCAGTGCCGCCCAAAGTGGCGCAGTTCTGCGCAGCCGAAAGCCGCAGCAGGCCCCGTCCCGTCTGAATACAGCAGGTTCTGGGTTCTGGGTCCAGCCGGCTGCTGCTGCTCCTCCAGTGAGGCTGGAAATCAAAACGTGACGTGAAATGAGCGGAAGCTGCTGTGTGTGTCCAGTTTTCTGCTGCTGCGTCTCCGTTTGTTCCCAGCGATGACCCCACGGAGCTCCAACCCGCCCACAGTCATGAGGCTCCGCGGCCATTTCCACTCACATTCCCCGCATCTCCGCACGATACCCGCACGGATGCGTGTGTCTGTGCGGAGGCATTGAGCAGTCAGTCAGAAAAAGGCAGAGGATCCTGCAGCTCTGGTGAGAGCAGCTGGAGGCGAACAGGAAGGCAGAAGGAGCCGCGCGGCGGCCGGAGGCAGCAAAGCAAACCGGGAGGAGAAAGTCTCAGTCAATGTCCTGCTGCTGTTTAAGTACGACACACACACACACACACACACACACACACACACACACACACACACACACACACACACACACACACACACACACACACACATCACTGTGGCTCTGCTCTGTGTAACATAAGCAGAGGAAATTAAAATCTGCCGCCGTGACAAAAGCTGAAGGATTTCCTCCAGAACCGCAGCAGAGGTTCGATGTGCGACTCGGTTCCTCCGGGTTTGGGTCCCCCTCATACCGAACATGCATTAACACTTTGTGGCCTGTCTTCCGTTTCCCCGCTCGCCTTTGCAGGACCTCCATTTTGAAGAGACATGGCGCGGCTCGGAGGCTCGGACGGCAGCGGGTTCTGGTTCTGGCTGGTTCCGGTTTTTCCGGCGGACAGCTGGAGCTTCTCTTCCTGATCAGGTAGCGGAGGAGGACGTGTCGGGACCGATCCAATCATTCTGCATTTTGTGTTGAGCTGCAGCGTTTTGGCTCCTGAAGGGCCACAAATAAAGAAACATTAGGTTTGAATTTCATCTGTTCTTTAAATTCAGTAAAAAATCACTAATATGGAAACATTTTGATGAGGAAAACATGTATTAATAAACACAAATAATCCAGAAATGTAAAAAATATTGGAATCAATATTTTTTACATTGATTCCAATTTAACATTAAACTGACAACAAATTTAATGTTGTTACATTTCAACATTAATTTGGTGTTAAAATTGTTCAAACAGGTTAATGAAAAGCAATAATTTAATTTTATAGAATATTTCAAGATGTTTGCCTCAAGGACTCAAAGGTCTGTGGTGTAATCTGTAGCTGCCCACTAGGGGGCGCAGGCCAGGTTTGCCTCCCGTCCAAAGGGTGGCGCCAGACAGACTGTGATACACATCAAGAACAAGATTTTGCCATTTAATACTGTTCTGATTGTTATTGAGTTTATTTTAGAACAAAGTGCCACAGATCGCCACGTTCTGACAACAACCGAACATCTAGAGTCATTTTCTACAATCTACAGGTTTTAAATAGCAGGCAGCCAGGCACAATCAAATGGTTTGTCATATTTTATTGTTGGAGAATGAATGCGACTCATTTATAATATTAACAAATTAAGGAAAAATTCTTCCTGTTTTCTGTGTAGGAAGCGAATAAGCCAGGAGATTATTGCCCCCTATGGGCTTCAGGAAGAATTACAGTGAGATGCTGTGGAAACAGCCTGAAGGTTAGAGGTCAGAGGTTGCTTAGGACTCATTTGATTGGTGTTAGCCACGCCCACTAATGGATATTTGATCAAATTAATATTTTATCAATTTAACTTAAATAGAATTTTAGAAAATTCAAAAAGTTGTCAGTGTCAAGCTGCTTCCTACTTCCTCTGTATTTATTTTGAATTAAACAGTTTTTCTGACCTCTGACCTGATTGTTCCTTATTATTTATTTTTAGTTTTAATAATCCACAGCAGGGTGCTGCGTCATTTTTTTCTGTTAAAATATTTAAGGAACAGCCAATAACTAGCATGAACTAGCACTCATCCTGTGATGTCACAGAATCAAATCAGTCATGAAATTAATACGAAATCTACCTGAGATTCTATAAATATTTAAAAATTAATTTACAATAAGATAATGAGCTCACTAATAGTTTTTCCTTTTGCACCGTCACATAAATGTTTCTTCCCAGCCTGAATCCTGATGCAGAAAAGGGCGGGGCTTGTGGATGTTGTGGTGATTTTCGGGGTTTTGGTGATGAAGATGCGCTGAGCGGCGGACGCGGCTGGCGGGACGCGGCCAGCAGAGACTGGATTACAAACGGGATTAGAAACGGGACTATAAAGTTATTCCGAAGCAAACAGAGGATTTGGTGATGTGAGGCTGTTCGGGCCGCTGGGTTCGCGCATGCTTTGGGAGGAGGGGAGTGTGTGTGTGAGTGTGTGTGTGAGTGTGTGTGTGAGTGTGTGTGTGTGTTGGAGGGGAAATGGGTGAGAGAGAGAGAGAGCTCAGGATCCGGGCCTAGGACGTGCTGCCGCGGGGACTCGCCTCATCGCCTCTCTAACATCCTGAAATTGGCCGTTTGTCCGCCAGAATGAGGCGGCGGCGCGGCGCGGCGGCGCGGCGCGACACCGAAATGGTAAGACTCTGGCGGCACATCCCGCGACATGCCGCGTTTTCTGCGTGATTTCTGCTCTTTCTGATGCTCATAGCCCCGCATATGTCGGTGGCAGCGCGTGCGCGTGTCTGCGTCTGTGCGCGCGCTGCTCGCGTTGCTGAACTTGTTTTTTGTCGCGTTTGCTTTTTATTTCCAGCCATCAAGCCGCCGCATGCATAATGCACACATGTCGTCACACTTTTCCATACGCGCGGACGCACGCGTGCGCGTGTCCACGTTAATCCCAATCCCTGATGTTGGTTTTTAATCATGTAACCCGTAGCGGGCCTGATTGGCCGCCGCGCGTCCATGAGATTCCAGCCTGACCTTATCGCGTTGGATGTCATTTCCAACATCTCGCGATAGCAGCGCAGACCGGCAGCTCCGGGTTTTCAGTTGACGTGACGTTGGACGCGCCGCTGCAGGATCCATGTTTCATTGAGATGTGATGGGATTACAGCTCAGATTATTACTGCAGATTATTATCATCACGTCACTCGACGACAGGAAGCTAAGGGATCCATTGCAGCCCAAAAAGATAAAAACGTTTCCAACTTTTGAGAACTTTATCTAGCAGCGGTTCAGTTTCTTCTTTCGTTTCGCTCTTAAACTATCATCAATCTTTAGTTTGGCGAAGAATTATGATTATTATTGACACAAATTAATATATTATACCCAGCACTTATGTGACTGTAAACTAATTAAACCAAAAATATCTCAATCATTTTGATCTGAGTCAAAAAACATTGTTTTTTACAACAAGCAGGTGAATATAACAATAATAAAACAACTTTTAAATCAGCTGCTGTTATCAGCTGTGATATGATTTATTGTCTTGTTGATTTATATATTAAATACTGAAGCTGAAACTAATAAAGACTTTCTCACTGCATCTGTAGGAAACGTGACTGCAGTTGCAGCTCAGATTTCTATGATCATTTATGAACTTTTCATTTTCTGTGGCTCCAGTTTAGAGACATTTTGCCCTCAGAGCTGCTGAGCTTGTTGCCAACATGGTTAAAGTTGCTCCGCCTCTGAAATAAGCTAATATATTTTCACACTATTTCTAACCTAGATATTAAAAGATGTTCATATTTTCGGCTCTCAGGCTCTGCAGGTGAAAACCTTCGTTTGATGCTGGTGGTTATAAATGTATCATTTATAATTATTGTTGTTTTAAATTAGGCCTGAAAGATTCATCAGGAAAATCAGTTGTTGAAAAAATTGCCAACTAATTTCTGAGTCGATGGTTAAATTTCATTATTCAGACTCTAAAAAAAGACAATTTGCTGAAATGTTCAGAATGGATGATCATAATAATCTCTGTTTGCAGCTCAGATGTATTCAGGTTGTGTAAACTCGGCGTTTCTGTGCTAGCGATGCTAACTGTCTGCGCTTCCTGTCTCAGGGTCGGATCATGTCAGAATGAGCGGGCCTTCCAAAGGCCCTGACAGGAAGTCCAGCTGCCCTTTGACCCCGGCCCGCGCCATGTCGGCGGCTGCCGCCTCCTCCCTCAAACGCACGTCTGTCTACGGCTACATCCAGTCGGACCACTCTTCCTCCTCCTCCTCTTCCTCATACAGCCCCCTGCGGAGGCTGCAGCACCTCACCAAGATGGTGAGCCGGCCCGACCTGGTGCTGCCGAGCCGGGGGCCCGAGCGGCGCTGGGACTGGGGGTCCGACCAGAGGGGCAGGATGGAGGACTACTGGGCGGAGTACAGAGAGTGTTCTGTCTCCCAGGAAGACGTCTCGTCTTCTTCTGGCCAAAAGCAAACGGAGCTGCAAAGTGAAAGTAAAGACTTTCCTGCTGTTTGTTGCCACCAATCTGCTGTTTCTGAGAAAATGGGAGGCAACTGTCCGTCCAGCCCGCCGAGCCCGGCCTTCTCTCTGGACAGCAGCCCCTTCGCCAACGGCCTGCTGCACTTCGACTCGGCTCTGTTTGAGGCCGACGGCGTCGACGAGGAGCCACAGACCAACGCGCCCGGCCCGGGTTTCCTGGACAAACGCGACCAGCCGCAGACCGCGCCGCAGACCGCGCCGCAGACCGCGCCGCAGCTCGCCCCCACAGACACTCGTCTGGACACAGAGACGGCGGCGGCGGCGCCCAAGGTGGTGACGCGCTCCCAGTCCTCGGGTCAGCGCCGGCGGTACTGGGACGGCTCAGAGGACGAGTGGGACAGCGACTCGGAGCTCTTCCTGTTCGATGACTGTCCTGCATGGCGGACGGCGGTAGGCAATCAATCAATATCTATTGCCATAGAGACGGGATCAATATGGATAGATAATTCGTCTGATAGAATAATCAATATTTTGAAAATTCACTGAACTCTGATCCAGAACCGCGCCGTATTCTGGACAGACTCGACCCGGTCCAACTCTCAGCTTGTTGCAACAGTCCTCATAGATAATTAAAAGTTAAAAATGTGAAGTGAAAGTTGAAAACAGCAAACAAAACCAAATAATGATCAACGTTAGCTGTGTCGTCCAACTGAAGTTAAGCATAAAAACAAAAAACCAACATTTATATTTATATTGATTAATGTGCATCTCCAAATCAACTTTAAAAACTGAAAACAATTTAAAGGACAGTGAAACAACACAGTCAGATCAGACGGAGTGAGTTTTTACAGTGTAGTTCAGAGCAGATCGACCCAAACAGCTGAAGGATTTACTGTTAAATGAACTAATGTAGATTTTGCTGCAGTTTGTTTTGTGAAATTGTTTATTAATCAATGGAAAACAGAGTGACAGAGGTCAAAGGTCAGAAACATTTCCTTCTGCTTTATCTGCATGCTTGTGCAATAAGTTTTCTAGAGAAATCAGTGTCGGTCTCCCGCAGCAGCCGAGCGGCTCCAGGAAAAAGCCGCCGCCTCCGCTGAAGTTCGCCGAGGGGCAAATCGTTTGGGCCAAGTTCGGCCGCCGGCCCTGGTGGCCGTGTGAGGTGCTGGCCGACCCGGCGCTGGGCGTCTACCACAGGATGAAAGGTAGAACCACAAACTGCTTTTATTGAGCCAGACCCGGATTCATGAGCCAGTTAACCATTAATCAATCACTAAATTAGTTACAGTTATTCCCGTAATAATTAAAACGATCAATCGTTACTAATCGATGTTCAGCTTGCTTTCAGTTTGACTTTGACCGTGCTTTGTGACTGCTTCCTGAATTTGTTTGTTTTTCTCCTCAACACATTTCCTTCAACTGCTGATTATTTCCATCAAAATGTCAGATTGTGACTCAACTGGAAAATAATGATTTTTTTATGAAGATTTTGTTTGAAATTGCAACACATTTTCAGAGATCAGTCTTTATACCTTTGCTTTTTTCTTGTACTTTGCCAAACGATTTTTGAGCCAATGATACGGTTTAGCATTTTCAACCACCTTTTTAGATGTTTTATCCATATTTCAGCATATTGTTGAGTCATTCTGTACTTTCTGGGTATTAATGTTGTAATTTCCTCTTTCTAAAAATAATCGGGAGGGCTCTGGTTTCTTTGCAGAGCCCTGCGACCGGCTCTGTCGGCTGTATCACGTCCGGACCTTTGGGGAGCCGAAGGAGTTCGTTTGGGTGGAGGAAAAATCAACTCAGTCGTTCCACGGAGGCTTTGAGTTCGACCAACTTGTCCTTTTGAGACGAAGAAGCAAGCAAAGAGAGCAGAACAACAGAAACACTGTAAGTGTTCAATTGTGAATTATTGCATGATGCGTGTTCTGATGAACGGTTGGTCCTTCGCTTCCTTGTTGGACAGAAGCTCTAATCTAAGACACTAACAGAAATCTGTGACTACCAAACGCATCATGAAAAGATAACAGTCTGTTGTTTTGGTTCAATACATTTTCTGGTCTCGCTGCAGATCCCTAAGCGTTTCCAGGATTCGTGGAGATGCAGTGTGGCCGAGGCCGAATCCGTTCTCTCTGGGCGACCCGACGTTTCTCCGCCTCTGGCTCCATCCACAGATCAAACCTTTGCCTGCAGTTCCCCGGCAGAAGGACAGAAGAAGCCCCATCCGGCCGTTCCCTCGCCCTCTCTGCCGGTTCCCACTGTTTCTGAACTGTTGCACTTAACGAATGGATCCACCTCGTCTGCAGCTACAACACAGACAAAACCGAGCACTTTAAAAAAAACTTGTAGCAAGAAGAAGGAAAGCAAATCCCTCCAGGACCTTGGGAATGAAAACACACTGTGTTGCAGTCTTGATCCGTCTCACAGAGACAACAGCGAGTGCCCGTACTCTGATCTCGACTCAGTCCCGAAGATTTTGTGTCCTAAAGCACTTCAGCATCAGCCGAAGCGACTTCCATGCCAGCCGTCTGCGGCTGCAGTCAAAGAGCTCAAGAAGCAGCCAGACACCCAGACTGGACTGTGGTTCAGTAAATCAGGCAGAGACCGGCGACCTAAAACTACCAGCCCAGTGTCGGACCGCTCCCTCTTTAGTAAGGGTCCCTGCAAGAAAAAGCACTTATCCACTGTTAGGAAGAAGGCCCCGGTTCCCTCCACCTCATTGGTTGGCGCTGGGTCCAATGACCCAGTTATACTGGCAGATAAGTCAACAGATGATGGTCCGATACATGAACAGTCAGTACCTGAGAAATGTAGGGCCAGTGAGGCCAACCCTGTTGAAGGAAGAGGCAGGTCTTTGGACAAACCAAAGGCCCAGCTGTCCACTGAAGACCAGCAGACTTCTGAGACCAAAATAAACCCTTCGAGCATTTCGTCTGACGACCTGGATGTTGAAAAAGACTTTCATTCCTGCAAGACAGTCGATTTTAATGACGACTCAGATTCTCCAAAGATGGTAACATCTATAAGTTCAACTGAACTTTCTGTCATAATTGCTACTAAACAACTTGATAAAACTGAAAAACCTTCTGAAAAGGAGAAAGAAAGAAAGCAGACTCTGAGGCCCTGTTTAGAAGTCGAAAAAAGAGACCCAGACTCGATATTAGAAAAGCAAAAAAATCTGGTCTCTAAATGCAGACTCCCGTTTGTGAAGCTGATACGAAAGGAGATAGAACAAAACAAATATTTACGCTCATGTCTGATAAATGTCACCACTAACAGAAGTGAATGCAATAAGAAAGAGAAAATACCAGATAGTAATGTGAATAAAGCAGCAGCTGATAAATCAGAATTGACAGGCAGCAAAACGAGCGTCTCCACTGAACAAATTACACCTTCAAAGTTCATCCAGGTCTCAGTCAAGAAGCTACGAGCGAGAAGTGAGTCTGGCCTACTTCGGCTGTCATCAGAGTCACCGCCTGAACACAACACAAAGACACCCGGAAACAACACCAAGACACTTGGTAACAACGCTGAGACACCTGGAAACAGCGTTCCCATACCTGGAAACCACACCAAGACACCTGGAAACAATGTTCCCATACCTGGAAACAACACTAAGACACCTGGAAACAGCGCTCCCATACCTGGAAACCACACCAAGACACCTGGAAACAACACCAAGACACCTGGAAACAATGCTCTCACACCTGGAAACAATGCTCTCACACCTGGAAACAACACTCTCACACCTGGAAACAATGCTCTCACACCTGGAAACAACGCTCTCACACCTGGAAACAACGCTCTCACACCTGGAAACAACACTAAGACACCTGGAAACAACGTTCCCATACCTGGAAACAACACTAAGACACCTGGAAACAACGCTCTCACACCTGGAAACAACGCTAAGACACCTGGAAACAACACTAAGACACCTGGAAACAACGCTCTCACACCTGGAAACAACGCTCTCACACCTGGAAACAACACTAAGACACCTGGAAACAACGCTCTCACACCTGGAAACAACACTCTCACACCTGGAAACAACGCTCTCACACCTGGAAACAACACTAAGACACCTGGAAACAATGCTCTCACACCTGGAAACAACGCTCTCACACCTGGAAACAACACTAAGACACCTGGAAACAACACTAAGACACCTGGAAACAACACTAAGACACCTGGAAACAATGCTCTCACACCTGGAAACAACGCTCTCACACCTGGAAACAACGCTCTCACACCTGGAAACAACACTAAGACACCTGGAAACAATGCTCTCACACCTGGAAACAACGCTCTCACACCTGGAAACAACACTAAGACACCTGGAAACAACACTAAGACACCTGGAAACAATGCTCTCACACCTGGAAACAACGCTCTCACACCTGGAAACAACGCTCTCACACCTGGAAACAACGCTCTCACACCTGGAAACAACGCTCTCACACCTGGAAACAACGCTCTCACACCTGGAAACAACACTAAGACACCTGGAAACAGCGTTCCCATACCTGGAAACAACGCTCTCACACCTGGAAACAACACAAAGACACCTGGAAACAATGCTCTCACACCTGGAAACAACACAAAGACACCTGGAAACAATGCTCTCACACCTGGAAACAACACTAAGACACCTGGAAACAACACTCTCACACCTGGAAACAATGCTCTCACACCTGGAAACAACGCTCTCACACCTAGAAACACTAAGACACCTGGAAACAGCGTTCCCATACCTGGAAACAACACTAAGACACCTGGAAACAGCGTCACCTGGAAACAACTCTCACACCTGGAAACAACACAAAGACACCTGGAAACAACGCTCTCACACCTGGAAACAACACTAAGACACCTGGAAACAACGCTCTCACACCTGGAAACAACACTAAGACACCTGGAAACAACACTCTCACACCTGGAAACAACGCTCTCACACCTGAAAACAACACTAAGACACCTGGAAACAGCGTTCCCATACCTGGAAACAACACTAAGACACCTGGAAACAGCGTTCCCATACCTGGAAACAACGCTCTCACACCTGGAAACAACACTAAGACACCTGGAAACAATGCTCTCACACCTGGAAACAACACTAAGACACCTGGAAACAACGCTCTCACACCTGGAAACAACACTAAGACACCTGGAAACAACGCTCTCACACCTGGAAACAACACTAAGACACCTGGAAACAACGCTCTCACACCTGGAAACAACGCTCTCACACCTGGAAACAACGCTCTCACTTCAACAAAACTTTCTGATGCCTTGGGCAGCCCAGAAGTGAAATGTATCCCAGCCTCTAACATTAGTCTAGAAAGTATCATCACCGTATCGTGCAATGAATCAAACAGATTAGAATGTAAAGACATTCTGTTTGCAATCAAACAAAGACATTGTCTGACCAGCCAGGTAGCTCAGAGGAAAACAGTTCATCTACTAAAACTGCAGCTTCTTCAACAGGAAGTAATCACCTCCCTGAAAGTTGGCCTGCTCCAAAATCCAGAAAAGCTGTTCACAAACTGAAGCAGGCTACAGAAATACAAAAAGTCCTGAAAGAACAGCCAGTCCATCTTCCAGCCAGCAGTCGGCTGATGACCAGGGCGCTGAAGGCCTTGCAGGTCGTCGACTGGAGGAAACGTAGAAAAGCCCAGCAGGCGATTGAGCAAACTAAGCTGAGCAAACTTCTGGACACAGTTCAGAATTCTGCTGAGCCCAAATTTGATATTTGCACTAATTTAAAACTTCTAAAATCTACTGACATTGACAACGGTGATTGCTTTTCTAGATGTAGCTCCCCTTCTGTACTATTCTCTGATTCAGATGATTTTGAAGCTGATGTTAAAAGTGAAGATGAAGACCTTTCAGTTTCTTCAACTCCGCCAATGGACTTCATACCCCTTACATCTATAGTTAAGGCAAAGCACGGAGATCTGCCCCCAACAACACAACCTCCATCACCTCAATCACCGTTTTCCTTCATGAAAGCCTTCAAGAATGTTACGGAGGTTTCCTTTCAATCCTTACCAAATAGCAGCAATGGAAAGCCAGTGTCTTTCAGGCCAGACTCAAAATACCAGTTTAGCACTTTTCTTATGATGCTGAAGGACTTGCATGACACTAGAGAGCGAGAAGGCACGCCCCTTGAGTTAGAGATTGGGCCACCCAGTGCACATGTGAAGGAGGAGCCGCTGATGATGCCACACAAGGCTCCTCTAGAAGGACACGGCCACACATGTGTCCTTAGCAAAACCGATCCAATCGCAGAAAAATGTGTGATTGGACAGAACGGATGTGGCAAAGGCCAGAAACTCAAGAGGCCCTTTAGCAGAAAGAGTGGCAGAAAGAGTTTGTTGAAAGGGAAAACCAATCGCAGAGTGCCTGGACCTGGTTTTCCTGGAGTAACATCAGCAACAGGAATCACTTCCTGGCCAACAGCAAATATCACTTCAAAAATAACGGATATACAAATTGGCAGTAGCTGGATCCAGGCTGGCTGCAGCAGAGACATTGGTGGGCAAGAGGAGCAGCAGAGATGGGAAAGGCTGAAAGGCAGCCAGCAGGTTGGTGTTCCTCTGGAAAGGAGGGAACGTCCAACACTCATCCTGGAACAGCCAAGCGGCCTCGGAGACGACATGATGAACAAGACGGACTTGATTCTAGAAGCTGAGGAACAAGACAAGACTTCATCCGGTAAGGACAGTCTGACGCAACATCTTTACAAAAATAACAACAATGGAAAGTTGGCTTTTTCTGTAGCACAATCCATTTTGTGAAATGCGATAAACCGAACATGAAAACTGATGTCTTCCTGCCATTAGAGCTCAGGTAAAACTCCTGTAATGTAGATGAAGTGGAATATCTGTGTATTTGCTACAGATCAGGCTAAAGTCAGAGTGAACATTCAAAACTATTCCAGACTTTGGATGAATTGCTTTTCCAAGACTTATTGCAACAACCAATGTTTTTCTGTCTGTGAGGCGACATTCACTCTGCAGACTGAAGTCTGCAAAAAAAAAATCACTTTTTTTTTGCTTTAACGCGACCTGCGTCTGATGTTTTCACGACTGTCTGAACAACACAGAGGCGACCCAGGCTATATGTGGTTCTAACTCCGATCCGTATCGGATCTTTTGAAATGTGGCCTGTGTCTGCACAGGCAGGTCGCATTCATACAGCCAGTTTGGTTAGCCTCAGGTTTCTGTTCTTGGCTAATCAGAGTGGCGTCTGGTTGGTCTTCTGCTGCTGCTAGCCCGTTTCTTTCAAAGTTTGACTGTCTGTCCATTCAGAGATGGCATTACCAGTAGATCATCAGTTTCTGGAGCAGTAAGACCAGCCAGTAAGGCCAGCCAACACATCCTGAATGTCCTTTCTAAAGCTCGGGTTGATTTTCAGCAAGTCATCTTCACCAGATCTAAACTCATCAAGTTGTTTCTGTGTGATTCACTCATTTACAAGCTAGTTTCTTAATAAAGTGTCTACAGAGTGTTTGATGATTTCCTTCCTTTTTTAATTCCAGAACATAAACGAATACGAAAGCCCAGCAAGAGACTACTTGAATGGACTGAAGAATACAACCAGATTTTCTCCCCAAGGAAGAAACCCAAAAGGTCTCTCCAGCTGTTTGGAAAGGTAAAAATGAGGCAAAGTGATGATCTCTGCTCTGCCTCTACAATCAAACACTCACTTTAGTTTGTCTGCCATCAGGCAGTTGGGTTCCAGGAATCAAACATTGTTCTCACAATCAGAACTGGGTGATGGGAAAAAATCTGATATCTCAATATTTTTGCCACATACACAGTATATATATCAGAATATTTTTAAATAATCTCCACTGTTATCTTAATATATATATAATAAATGCTATATATCATTTATGAAATTACAATATTGCCTCTTTCTGGTGTCAACACTAAACCTTTCATAACCAAGAGCATATCGGCAAAAAAAAAAAAAAAAAGTTAAGATTAAAGAAACAAAAGTTAAAGTTATTCTAAACTTGGCAGGCCATTAAACTATTTGCACATGTTGCCAATTTTGAGCATCAAACCACAAAAAGCACAATAATGGTCAACGCTGCCAAATTCAGGCAATGTCTGCAAATCCCATTCAGACTTATTTAATCACAGCATACAGAGCATCTCAGAGATTTAAATAACAATATTAAGCACATCACATAAAATGGTCAAAGAAAAAATAGGAAATAATCCTAAACTAATAAAGAAGCTGAAGTCCAAATGGTGACATTAATACCCTGAATATTATCAACATCATTAGATGGTGAAATAAATCTGTGGTTCAAACTTTTGTTGGGTTTAAAGGTTTTGCAAATTACCTCAATATGTTGGACATAATCCATAGAAAATCCAGACGAGATTATTGATTCAGATGGTTTCTCTAAGGCTCTGGACTAGTTTTGTTAATACATTGGGACAAACAATATACAGGGTCAGCTAGTTTAGGGTCAGCTAGTTCAGGGTCAGCTAGTTCAGGGTCAGCGAGTTCAGGGTCAGCTAGTTTAGGGTCAGCTAGTTCAGGGTCAGCTAGTTTAGGGTCAGCTAGTTTAGGGTCAGCTAGTTTAGGGTCGGCTAGTTCAGGGTCAGCTAGTTCAGGGTCAGCGAGTTCAGGGTCAGCTAGTTTAGGGTCAGCTAGTTTAGGGTCAGCTAGTTTAGGGTCAGCTAGTTTAGGGTCAGCTAGTTTAGGGTCAGCTAGTTTAGGGTCGGCTAGTTCAGGGTCAGCTAGTTCAGGGTCAGCGAGTTCAGGGTCAGCTAGTTTAGGGTCAGCTAGTTCAGGGTCAGCTAGTTTAGGGTCAGCTAGTTCAGGGTCAGCTAGTTTAGGGTCAGCTAGTTTAGGGTCAGCTAGTTTAGGGTCAGGTGGTTTAGGGTCAGCTAGTTCAGGGTCAGCTAGTTTAGGGTCAGCTAGTTTAGGGTCAGCTAGTTTAGGGTCAGCTAGTTAGGGTCAGCTAGTTAGGGTCAGCTAGTTTAGGGTCAGCTAGTTTAGGGTCAGCTAGTTTAGGGTCAGCTAGTTCAGGGTCAGCTAGTTTAGGGTCAGCTAGTTCAGGGTCAGCTAGTTTAGGGTCAGCTAGTTTAGGGTCAGCTAGTTCAGGGTCAGCTAGTTCAGGGTCAGCTAGTTTAGGGTCAGCTAGTTCAGGGTCAGCGAGTTCAGGGTCAGCTAGTTTAGGGTCAGCTAGTTCAGGGTCAGCTAGTTTAGGGTCAGCTAGTTCAGGGTCAGCTAGTTTAGGGTCAGCTAGTTTAGGGTCAGCTAGTTTAGGGTCAGCTAGTTCAGGGTCAGCTAGTTTAGGGTCAGCTAGTTAGGGTCAGCTAGTTCAGGGTCAGCTAGTTTAGGGTCAGCTAGTTTAGGGTCAGCTAGTTAGGGTCAGCTAGTTCAGGGTCAGCTAGTTCAGGGTCAGCTAGTTCAGGGTCAGCTAGTTTAGGGTCAGCTAGTTAGGGTCAGCTAGTTTAGGGTCAGCTAGTTTAGGGTCAGCTAGTTTAGGGTCAGGTGGTTTAGGGTCAGCTAGTTTAGGGTCAGGTGGTTTAGGGTCAGCTAGTTTAGGGTCAGCTAGTTCAGGGTCAGCTAGTTTAGGGTCAGCTAGTTAGGGTCAGCTAGTTCAGGGTCAGCTAGTTTAGGGTCAGCTAGTTTAGGGTCAGGTGGTTTAGGGTCAGCTAGTTTAGGGTCAGGTGGTTTAGGGTCAGCTAGTTTAGGGTCAGCTAGTTAGGGTCAGCTAGTTTAGGGTCAGGTGGTTTAGGGTCAGCTAGTTCAGGGTCAGCTAGTTTAGGGTCAGCTAGTTTAGGGTCAGCTAGTTCAGGGTCAGCGAGTTTAGGGTCAGCTAGTTTAGGGTCAGCTAGTTCAGGGTCAGCTAGTTCAGGGTCAGCTAGTTTAGGGTCAGGTGGTTTAGGGTCAGCTAGTTTAGGGTCAGCTAGTTTAGGGTCAGCTAGTTTAGGGTCAGCTAGTTCAGGGTCAGCTAGTTTAGGGTCAGCTAGTTTAGGGTCAGCTAGTTTAGGGTCAGCTAGTTCAGGGTCAGCTAGTTTAGGGTCAGGTGGTTTAGGGTCAGCTAGTTCAGGGTCAGCTAGTTTAGGGTCAGCTAGTTTAGGGTCAGCTAGTTCAGGGTCAGCGAGTTTAGGGTCAGCTAGTTTAGGGTCAGCTAGTTCAGGGTCAGCTAGTTCAGGGTCAGCTAGTTTAGGGTCAGCTAGTTCAGGGTCAGCGAGTTTAGGGTCAGCTAGTTTAGGGTCGGCTAGTTCAGGGTTGGCTAGGGTTTGGGTCAGCTAAGTTCAAGCTAGCATTTTATAGTTGACGCATCAGACCGGGCTCACGCCGCACCCTTACGTTGCTCTCGTATGCTGTCGCAGCTCCTGCTGTTCCTGGAGGTTCTGTAACCCGTCCCGTTACAGAACCAACTGGTGGATCTGGAAGTTGTTCTTGTGGAGCAGCTTCCTTTGCACTGACATTCATAAGAATACAGCTCCAATGTAGCGTTAACTATAACCGCTATGCTGTTCACATGGCTCTAGTGCTCAACCTGAACTTTCAAAACCGTGACGAACTCGGCCTTCATTCGCCCGCTCACCTGGAACGCCCGCTGCCGCCATGCTGTTAGCTCCGCACTGTATCCGCCAGAACATTTTCAAGTTGGGGGTCAGTGATGTTTAAATGAAGCTGTGAAGCTTCGCAGCAAAGAGCTGCTCATGGATGAACCTCAAAGGTTCATCACTCTGAGGTTCATACATTTCTCTCTACTGACCTCTACTGACCTCTGCTGCTGAACCTGCACAGCCTGACACTCAGAGACATACTTCAAAAAATGAGTAAATGCAATATTGTCACAAAGTTTTTGTCAAACTCATGCTTAGTAACAGGAGGGTCAATTAAATCCTATTTTACGAATGTTTTTGCTTATTAAAATGATTTGTAGCCAATCCTGATAAATGTTGACTGTTTTCTTTCACGTCATTGACTGATTTGAGAATAAAGACATTTGATGTTTTAGTGGGTTCAGAGTGCAGCTTGTTGGGCAGACAGTATTCTTTGAGATTCCATTTGCCTCCTGAAAAACTAATATTGGTCAATAGTTCTCTTTTTCTTGGATTTCTATTGGCTCTCTGCTCTGATCCTTTATATTTTTACTCATCAGGCCAGAATTTTACTCTTCCAACATCTTTAAGTCTGTTTCTACTGATAAATCTTTGCTGATGAAAATAATAGTGGACATTTCCAGAAGGTGATCATTTTGGAGGTGAAGGGGTTAATTATTTTTATTTAAGATTATTGCCCTGATGTCAGATTTTTCCTGTTGCTGGCTCCATTTCAATCAACTTTATTTGTGTAGCAGTTCAGCAGCAATACTGTTCAAAGTGCTTATCATAAAATCACAAACATACAAAGTGACAATGGAGCAAAATGTGATGTCACTCATCACATTCTGATGAGTGACATCATCAAAACATTATTACACATTAATATCTTGGTGGATGCTCCTTTTTATTTTAGCTGCTGCTGAAGACAAAACGTTCCTTTGACCAAATACAGCAACCCATGAAGCAGCACGGCTCATCAAGCTTTTATTTTGAAGGACCCATGAAATGGGTCCCTTAGTTGCCAGATGTCAAGCCTGACTGCAGATGTCCCACCACTAGGGGGGGCTAGTGATGCATTCACAACCTGTCTGATAAACAATACTTGCAGTGAATTAGATTATTATTTGTCCTGGATGTTTGCGTTAAAACCTCTTTAACCACAGTGAGCTGAGAAACGACGGCTGGCCGTTGCATCATCGCCCAGCCGTCTCAATCTTTTGTCCAGCAGGCCAGTGAATCTGTTGCTGCCCTGTGTGAGCTTTCGGACTTGGAGAAGAACATGGCCGACAGCTCATCATCTTCCTTACTTCCTGTAATCCTGACGCCGCCACCAGAGGAGTTGGCTCCACCCACACCTGCAGAAACCCAGAGTCCCAAAGCAGAAGCGCCATCCATCCAAGAGCTTCCGCTGCTTTCCATCGACTCCTTAACTCCGCCCCCTGAAGCTCAGGCCTCCCTGTCAGACGGCCTAGTCAAAGGAAACAGTAATGTTTCTGCTTTTCATTTATTTTTAAAATGACGTTTCGTTGAATTCTTTACGCTGCATTCCTTTTAAAGAGGGAGGATGTAACTTTTTTTTAAAAATGTTGTTTTTGTTGAAAGTGTCACTATTCATCACTTTAATATGACGGATAGTCTGTGAGCAGATCAATCTCCTCTCAAGAAATGAAGCAAAAACAACCAATCAGAGCCAGGAAGCAGGGCTTAATGCTGTGAATCATCCTCATGTACTCACTACTAAATGTGCTAATGCAGGAAGAACAGCTTACAGGAAAACTGTTTATCTGTCGTTAGCATGGCTATGCTAACTGGCCATAATACTACAGGCTATGCTACCTACAGTGTAGCAGAAAGCAGCACCAAATAAGATTGTGATTGACAGCACTAAGCCCCGCCTTCTGGCTCTGATTGGTTGTTTCTTGTTAGCACTGGGAGAAGGAAGAGATTGATCTATTGCCATACTGTCACAACATGGAGACAGTTTGAACAACAGTCTAAAAATTTTTTTATTAAAGTTACAAACTGCAGGTTTACGGCCCAGGATTTGATCTCAGTTGAGGTTCTGCTGGCAACCGGGTCATTTCAACCTTTTCCTGCTAACATGATGTTAATTTACCTGATTTTTAACTCCAGTTAGTTTCAACATTTTCTTTTATAAAAGTTTTTATGACACATTGTTTGTTGTTTTTATCAGATTAAACGTGAAGATGATGCAGTTCGTCCGGTCCTGGTTCTGCTCGGCGGATTCAGTCAGAAGGTTTTTGGTTTCTGATGATTTCTGTGTTTGGTCAGCAGAAGTTTTTCCTGTGCTTGAAAAGAAGAGGAAGAGGAAACCAACGCAGAAGATCCTGGAGTATTGCCTGGAGGCCGAGGTTTCCGCCGCCCCGAAGAAGAAGGTAGAAAACTTTCATCTGGGCTCAGCAGCAAAATATTAATGAACAAGAAGCCTTGAATAAGAACCACCTTTAACTTGTAGTGAGTCCAGAAATGGGAAACATACTAACTTATGTGAGATTTCTGCTTATTAGAATAATTGTTAATGTGTTTTTTTGTTTTCTTCTACCTGTTTAATCAAGGAAGTGAATTTCAAAAGAAATAAAACATTTTTCTGTTTAACATTTTGCCTCCCAAATGGAAGCAGGTTATCATGAAATGAATAAAACATTATTGGTGAATGTAAAGGAGCGATTTGACCAAAACTTTTAAATTTTATCACTGAATTAGATAAAAAAAACTAAACAATTTATTGTTTCTCTTGAATTACGATAAATGGTTTCAGATAAAATACCGATACTGATATTTCCACTTCCTGACCTGTCGTTTGCTTTTCCCTGTTTAACTCTTTCTAATATTTAAATATTCATATTTAATGTGAAAGTCTAGTTCCATGTTCTGATCATGTTTATGTTTCATTCCAGAATAAAACACTGAAGATAAATTCAAATGCTGGACCTCAGTCAGGTTTGTACGATTCCAGTTATTCTGAAAATCATCTAGAAACTACAAACGGTTCCCAAAGTGGAGGGTCAGTTAAAACAGGCTTTAAACCAGGGAGGAAAATTAATATCGCCACATAAAAATGTACGCATATTTATTCAAACTGTCATGACAGTTTGGTATGAGACAGATAATCTGTGAAGAAACAATTTAAATTAATTTATTTCTGTAGCACCAATTCTGCAACAAATATTGTTGAAAGTTTCAGCTGTCAGGCTAGAGCAGCGAACACGCAGGAATGATTGACAGCACTATGCTCTGCTTAACTTTGACTGATTGTTTCACTGAGAAAAAGCAGAGATGAAACTTTTACCACAACATGGAGGCAGATTCAGTTATGAAAACACTTTAAAGTTAAATAATTCAATTAATTTTTATAAAATATTTTTATACTGAAATCATTCTGACTTCAGATGATTAAATCTCTTAATTGGTCGTTTTCTACACAGATTGTTCTCCGCCATCTTTGAAAGTGAAACCACTCTCTGGGCCGTCGGCCTGCATGCCCCTCGCCCCTGTGACCTCTGACCCCCCGGCGGCGTCCAGCCCACCTGAGCAGGTGGATCTGCCCCCAGCAGATGCGTTCCAGTCTGATGACGGCAGCGTCCAGGAGGAGGCACTGGAGTCAGAGGTCAGCCGACAGGAACTTTAGGAAACGGTCGCTCCTGTGGTTCAGATGAAAACCCAATGTGTTTCTGCAGGATGACAGGTTTCTGCCGGAGAACCGGTTCCGCCCCACAAAGGATGACCTGCTGGGCAACGACGCATCTCTACCTGTCAGGAGGATCATCGGCGACCGGGGAGGACCCGCCTCCATGAAGGAGAACGTCTGCCAGGTGAGACCCGGACCGTAAATTCGGAGGAGGAGATGGAAGACCAGGCTGGATTCAGCCTGAATCCTGGTTCATTTCCTTTGTTCTGATCTTCACCTGATTTGATTCTCAGGTGTGTGAGAAGACGGGGGAGCTGCTGCTGTGTGGGGTCAGTGCTGCGGAGCATTTCACCTGGCCTGCATCTCTCTGGCCGAGGCGCCGAAAGCGAAGTTCGTCTGCCCAGAATGCAAATCAGGTCAGTTTATTCCTCCTGATGATCAGAAACGGGTCAGAACCAGAACTGGCCCATCCAGGCGTTCCTGTGGACACTGTTTCAGTTTTACACCACACTTTAGCGTTCCTCGGTCTGATGCTAAAGAAAGAATAAAAACTGATATGTGATGATTGTGGTGAGATGTTTAGTCCTGTGTTGTTCTTGCTCTTTAGTTTCCTTGAGCCTGGTTCTGTAAACACCAAGAGCGCCCCCTACAGCCGCAGTATACTGGAGTGTCACCGGTTCAAACATTTTATGGACCACCGTAGCCCTGTTCTGGTTGCTATAGTGATCCCTGTCTCCATGGTGACAGGAATAAGGGAAACCCACAGAGTGCTAAAACACCTGACATGATGGTAGCGCTGAGTCTGTGGTTGCGGCTGTCCAGGCTGACTGTCCTAACCCCAACCTCAACCCCAACCCCAACCTCAACCCCAACCCCAACCCCAACCCCAACCCCAACCCCAACCCCAACCTCAACCCCAACCTCAACCCCAACCTCAACCCCAACCTCAACCCCAACCCCAACCTCAACCCTCAACCCCAACCTCAACCCCCAACCCCAACCCCAACCCCAACCCCAACCCCAACCCCAACCCCAACCCCAACCCCAACCTCAACCCCAACCCCAACCCCAACCCCAACCCCAACCCCAACCTCAACCCCAACCCCAACCTCAACCCCAACCCCAACCCCAACCCCAACCCCAACCCCAACCTCAACCCCAACCTCAACCCCAACCCCAACCCCAACCTCAACCCCAACCTCAACCCCAACCCCAACCCCAACCCCAACCTCAACCCCAACCTCAACCCCAACCTCAACCCCAACCCAACCCCAACCGCAACCCCAACCTCAACCCCAACCGCAACCCCAACCTCAACCCCAACCTCAACCCCAACCCCAACCCCAACCCCACCCTCAACCCCAACCTCAACCCCAACCTCAACCCCAACCTCAACCCCAACCCCAACCCCAACCTCAACCCCAACCCCAACCCCAACCTCAACCCCAACCCCAACCCCAAACCCAACCTCAACCCCAACCTCAACCCCAACCTCAACCCCAACCTCAACCCCAACCCCAACCTCAACCGCAACCCCAACCTCAACCCCAACCGCAACCTCAACCCCAACCCCAACCTCAACCGCAACCTCAACCCCAACCCCAACCTCAACCCCAACCCCAACCTCAATCCCAACTCCAATCCCATCCCTCCTTCCAGGCGTCCACACCTGCTTCGTGTGTAAGAAGCGCAGCGAAGATGTCCGCCGCTGCATGATCCCTGTTTGCGGGAAATTTTACCACGGAGAGTGCATCGCTAACTACGCCGCGACCGCGCCGGTCAACCGAAGCTTCCGCTGCTCCATCCACGTCTGCCTCACCTGCTTCATCGCCAGTCCCGGCAGCTCGTCTGTCTCCAAAGGTCAGCGCAGTAAAGGTCAGCAGGTCATGCCTACCCCGCCACCCAATGCTCATGGCGCCCATTGCTCCGCAGGCCGTCTGGTGCGATGCGTTCGCTGTCCGTCGCTTATCACGCCACCGACCTGTGCATGGCCGCCGGCAGCGTTGTGCTTTCCAACAACAGCATCATCTGCCCCAACCACTTTGCGCCGCGCCGCGGCGTCAAGAACCACGAACACGTCAATGTCAGCTGGTGCTTTGTCTGCACCGAAGGTACGCGTCCCTTTAAACTTTCAATATTACCTTCTGCATCATTTCATTTTCTTATATCCAACAACGAGCTTTATTATTGGCCACTGTCAATGGTGGACACACTTATGCTAATGTGCTAACAGCGGAGCTAATTTATCATTTAGTGCTTTAGCTAACAATGGAAACATTTGAACACTTAGCTTTCCCTAAATGTACCTGATTTATTTGAATAAAACTAAGTTGAAGGTTTTATCGACTGAAATTCTTCAAGTAGTCAGATGTTTACATTAATGCTCTTATTTTGAAGTGCATGACAAGTGTTAATGCAGCAGCTCCATTTCTCTTTCTTTTCCAATAACTTTATTTCAACCAACAAATGTGTGAAACTCAGATCCAGCAGGTTGACTTCACAACAGATCCACTGACTTTATTCTGACACAAACTGTCCACAGCTTTTGGAAACGGAAGCTTCTGCCTCTGTGCATTGTTGTCTTTAGTGGGTTTTCTGGACCCGGTTTGTGGGACAAAACCAGTTTGTACCACAAACCCAAACTGGTACGACAATAAAACAATCCTTCAAACCTATCGGATAATGGTTCCCGTAGTAACCTCCAACTTTTAAAAGCAACAATAAAAACCAGGAGAAAAAACTTTTTGACCAAACAAAATGAATTTGAAGAACAAATGAAGAAATTTTGACAAACTTCACAACTATAAAATTAAAATAAAATTTAGGAAACAAAACATAATTTTCAAAGGCTTTTATAGAATATATATATATATATATATATATATATATATATATATATATATATATATATATATATATATATTATGTCAAATAAAAGATTTGTAATCTTTCAAAGGCACATATAATTTAAATTGAAGTTAGCATTCTAGCATTAGCTTCCACTTAACACTGTTTTAGTATATTGCTTTAGCGTTAGTATAGCTAGTATGTATGATTAGCGCTTTAGCATGGGTGGAGATATTATTTATTAATTCATTTATTAATGTCACCCAGGAGAGATTAAGCTAACAGCCTCGTTCGTGGATCAATCTGGAACAGTTTCGACCTTTGACCCCGTGGCACGTCTCTGTCCGTCCGGCAGGAGGAAGCCTGCTGTGCTGCGAATCGTGTCCCGCCGCGTTTCACAGAGAGTGTCTGAACATGGAGATGCCCAAAGGCAGCTGGTTCTGCAACGACTGCAAGGCGGGGAAGAAGCCGCGCTACCAGGACATCCTGTGGGTCAAGGTCGGCCGCTACAGGTCAGAAAGGGTTCACTGTCCCAGCCTTTGTTTCTTTGGCTTTTATGTAGTTTTATGTATTAAGACTTTTACACTTCTAAGGTTCACCTTGTGTATTTTTAATGATGCGCTCTTTTTGGACCAGAAATTATGACGTGTGTGTATTTGTGAAGGTTTTTATTTGCGATTGTTTTTAGTTATTTACTGGCACAGTCGCGACATGCTCTGTGGGTAGAGCAGCTGTCTTGTGAACAGGAGGTTGTAGGTTCGATTTCAGCTTCCTCCTGTCATGACATGCTGTGAAGAGGTGGTGAGGATGAAGCTGAGGACCCAGGTTGGAATGAAAGAGTGATGTTTTAATGGCAGCACAGGATGAGCTAATGCTCACAACTGGTAGCACCTGGTAGGAACTGGTAGCAACTGGTAGGAACTGGTAGCAACTGGTAGGAACTGGTAGCAACTGGTAGCAACTGGTAGGAACTGGTAGCAACTGGTAGGAACTGGTAGCAACTGGTAGGAACTGGTAGCACCTGGTAGCAACTGGTAGCAACTGGTAGCACCTGGTAGCAACTGGTAGCAACTGGTAGGAACTGGTAGGAACTGGTAGCAACTGGTAGGAACTGGTAGCAACTGGTAGGAACTGGTAGCAACTGGTAGCACCTGGTAGCAACTGGTAGGAACTGGTAGCAACTGGTAGGAACTGGTAGCAACTGGTAGCAACTGGTAGGAACTGGTAGCAACTGGTAGCAACTGGTAGCAACTGGTAGGAACTGGTAGCACTGGTAGGAACTGGTAGCAACTGGTAACTGACGGCAGACTCGTCAGCGAGACACAGAGGGAAACGAAATATAGCTGGAACTACCAACTGGGTGGACAGTACAAAATGAATACACTGAAAAAACTAAATCTTTACATCTCCTGCCACATGACCCTGGGCAAGGCATGTAACCCCAGACTGCTACTGGATTAATCAATCCCAATAATTGCGCATCGGAGTATGAATGTGAGTGTGAATGTGACTCTGGTGTGAAGCGACCTTCCTGGAAGACGTGTGTGAAAATCCACACTTGCTTTCAGTGTTGTTCTTTCTCAGTCTGTATTAACCAATTACTAAATAACTTGGCAGTAATTCCAATAATTGATTAATCATGATTATTTTAATCCACTGTTCCAGTCTTGATGTTTTTTTTCCTTCTGCTGTTAAAAACCTTTTTCTGTTTTGGCAGGCAGATATTTATCTCCAAACTGAGCTGCAGCCTTGCTGACGCCTTAAAATGTCTCCTCTGCTGTTGATTGAAGTTTTGTATTATGTTGTAAACATTTCCTTTTTTCCTGCATTTGATTGTCTGTAATTGAGTGGAAAAGCTGAAAGTAAACGATGAATCAAACACAGCAGGATGTTTTACTGCTTTGCCCTCTGACCTGAGGTGGTGGCCAGCGGAGGTCAGCCATCCCAAAACCATCCCAGAAAACATCCAGCGCATGCGGCACGACGTGGGCGAGTTCCCGTTCACTTCTTCGGCTCCAACGATTACCTGTGGACCTACCAGGCCCGCGTCTTCCCTACATGGACGTCGACGCAAACAGCAAAGAGAAGATGGGCAAAGGTGTCGATGCAACTTACAAGAAAGGTGAAGATCATCAAATATTCAGGTTTTATGTTCGTTTAATGACATTTTCAGGACGCTGAGTGCGTTTTATTTCTGTTGTCAGCGCTGGAGGAGGCGGCCGTGCGATTTCGTGAGCTTCAGGCAGAAAAGGAGCTTCGGCAGCTTCAGGAGGACAGAAAGAACGACAGGAAGCCGCCGCCGTACAAACACATCAAGGTGTGAAAAACACTGCAGGCTCAAAATGCATGAAAACACCAATTCATTGCACTGCACTATTCAAATCTATATTATGGAAAATTAACTGGTTGTATATTTTTGTATTTCCTTTGGGTCTCAACAGCTTTTAGAACCACAAAGAGTTTAATAAAATCACAGACAGCTTCTGGAAATAACTTTATGTTTTTGTGTTAATGCAATGCTGATCTGAGGCGAAGCTCCTCAATATTACTGCTAAGCTAGTCACTTAGCATGCTAACTCTAGGCTAACTCTCTTGTTTTTGCAGTGCGTTGCTGCTGTTAGCTTACCAATGCTACAGTACTTTGACTGTAGTATGCTAAGCTAATAGATGGTGACAAAATAGAAAACATTATTTTATTTCATTTTGAAACAAAAGATATGAGAAGAAAAAGAAAACAACAGAGCTTTAAATTTTGGAGAAACAGAACCATGAAGTCACTGATCAATGATTGTAATCGCTGATCAATTCGTTTTAAGAGCATCTGCCTGTGCAGGTGAATCGTCCGATTGGGAAGGTCCAGATCCTGACTGCTGACCTGTCAGAAATCCCGCGTTGCAACTGCAAGGCGACAGACGAGAGTCCGTGTGGGAACGACTCTGAGTGCATCAACCGCATGCTGCTGTACGAGTGCCACCCTCAGGTACCAGAACCGCCGTCCACACCGTGGACCGTTTCCTTTCTCCGCGGACGCTGTGTGGAATTGAAGACCTGATAAAAAGTGAAAGCGGTGAATCGGGCTGCCCTGCAGGTGTGTCCGGCCGGGGAGCGCTGCCTGAACCAGGCCTTCACCAAGCGGCAGTACAGCCAGGTGCAGATCTTCCGGACGCTGTCTCGCGGCTGGGGCCTTCGCTGCATCCACGACATCAAGAAGGTGAGTCCGAGCGAGCGCCGCCGCCGCCGCCGGCGGGACGACCTTTCATCTCCAGCTGTCTTTTCTCAGGGTCAGTTTGTGACCGAATACGTCGGGGAGGTGATCGGCGAAGACGAGTGCAGGTCGAGGATCAGACACGCCCAGGAGAACGACATCTGCAACTTCTACATGTTGACTCTAGACAAGGTGTGTCACGCAGCCATCAGCACCAAACTTCACACTCAGACAGAAACGGAAAGAAAATCTAACTTTAACGACACGCCGATCCGATTTCTGCAGAGCGGCCTGACAGGAAGTGACGTAAGAAAAGTTAAAGAAATCCTGGTAGGAGGAAAAATACAAAAATCTTCTACTCAGAAAAAAGGCAAAGTTCTGGTTCAACATGGACAAAACGTTTTCCTAAAAGTTTCCTGTCGTTTTGTCCCTTCACTGCGTTGTGATTCGTTTCTAAGCAGAAACTTTCACCTGCACGTTACCCAACATGCCCAGCTGTCCGTCAGTCTTTCCTCTGCCTCCCTCCCCTTTCAGGACAGAATCATCGACGCCGGGCCGAAGGGCAACGAGGCTCGCTTCATGAACCACAGCTGCCAGCCCAACTGCGAGACGCAGAAGTGGACGGTCGGCGGAGACACGCGGGTGGGACTGTTCGCTCTGGTGGACATCGCTGCAGGTCACTGAACTTCCTGTTGGGACGGAAATGAAAAGATGTGGGTGTAACGATCGTTCCTCCCTCAGGCACAGAGCTCACCTTCAACTACAACCTGGAGTGTCTGGGCAACGGAAAGACGGTTTGTAAATGCGGCTCGGCAAACTGCAGCGGCTTCCTGGGCGTGAGGCCAAAGGTGAGGTTCCCGGCCTGAGACCGGCTCCTTCCACGATAGACACGCGCTAACCCCACGCCGTCCGACAGAACAACCCTCCGTCCGACGACAAGGGCCGCAAGCTGAGGAGGCGGGGCCACGGCAGGAAGAAGAAGAAGGCGCTGCCGACCAAAGAGAGGGAAGACGAATGCTTCAGCTGCGGAGACGGAGGACAGATGGTCTCCTGCAAGAAGCCAGGATGTCCCAAAGTCTACCATGCAGACTGCCTGAACCTCACCAAGAGGCCAGCAGGTCAGACACCTTAGGGACAGGGGTCCAAGTCGAGGCCCGTGGGCCAAATCTGACACACCCTAGATATTTATGTGGCCTTCAAGACTCAAGATGGCTGCATAAATACAGGCTGTTAGGTTTTTCCTCGAACCTACAATAAAATAACCACAGACAACGTATATGAATTAAATATGGTCAGGCTTCTGCAGAAGGAGAAGTCTCCATCAACAGCTCCTCCAAGCTGTTCATAGAGAGTTCTGATCTGCTTTCACGTGAGCTCCCTCTTTATTGTCAAAGAGAAACAGTCACATGGTGCAGTCAGGAAACAACAGAGGTCGTAAAACATTTAACACAAACAGACCAACAACTCAGTTCCAGGTGTGATATCTAATTTACAATCTGAGCCCAGTTCAGCTCTGGGTCAAACTGTCACCTAAGACTAGATAAACACCAGAGAAGACTTTAAGGTCTGAGAACCATAAAGTTTTACTACCTCGCATGAAGACAGTCGTAACCTCCAGGTCAGCCCATACACACATAAGGAAGAGAACACTTTAACAAAATGATCATATCAAAAAATCTCTAACAGGCGACCTGCGACAGTGGAGGCTACAAACATTCATTACAGTTCAAGCACAAAATCATTGAGATCTATTAGCTGTAAGAGATGCTCCAAATGACTAAGAGTTTATTCATAAGTCTGATTAAAGATGTTTCCCTTCCTTACCGTCCGGTCGACCCGGTTCTACTGGACCCAGAACTCCATCATCTGCTCCGGTTCTCTTTCTCTCTGCTTCTCCGCTGTAGTCCACTTCCTGCTTTTGGAGCGGTGTCCGTGACCAGATCCTAATAATGAATGAAGAGCTGACCCAGTTGGTCGGCTTTAACCCGACTCTTGTCCAGTTGGTGACCTCTAATCGACCTCTGACCTCTGGTCCTCCCAGCCTGGGTCTGGTCGGTTTGAATGTGAAAGCTAAGCGAACCAGAGAGCGCTCCAAAATCAGGATGTGGACGACAGCAGGGCATTCTGGGTAAATCCAACCAGAGCTAACATGTTAGCCTAGCGCTAGCAGCAGAAATGGCTCCTGGTCTTCAGCCAAAGACTAAAGAGAAATCACTAAACTCTGGCGCCTCCATCTTGTTTCATCTGGTGAAACAGGAAGTTGCTCTCAGTGTCTTCAGAGGTTTTAGTGTCGTTTCCTGCAGTGGTTGTTGGTGCAGCGCCCCCACAGGCCAGGAGGGGAACAGGCTGGTTTGGGTCAGAACCACAGCAGCTGGAGGTGGAGCAGAAGTTCTGGTTCCAGTAGAACCGGGTCGACCCGACTGAAGGGGGGGAAGCGTCCGTCATGTTTTCCTGGATTGTTCCCTGAATGTCTGTGATTGCTTGAAGGTCGTTGGGAGTGTCCTTGGCATCAGTGTGACGTCTGTGGGAAGGAGGCGGCGTCGTTCTGCGAGATGTGTCCCAGCTCCTACTGCCCTCAGCACCGCGACGGTCTGCTCTTCATCTCCAAGCTGGACGGGAAGCTCTGCTGCAGCGAACACGACCCCTGTGGGCCGGAGCCGCTGGAGCCGGGGGAGATCCGGGAGTACCGGCCCGACCCGGGGGCCCTGACCTCTGGGGCCCTGACCTCTGGGGCCCTGACCTCTGGGGCCTGACCTCTGGGCTGGGCATGGCTGTCATCCCGCGTGCCGTCTCAGCCGGCTCGGTGGGCGGGAACGTGAAGGAGGCCGGCGGTGGCGGCGGCGGTGGCGGCGGCGGCGGCGGTCCGGAGGCGTTCTCTCCGTTCTCCATCCCAGTGCCCATCACCATCCCGGTTGCCAGCGGCAACGCCTCGCCACCTCCCAGCAGCCCACACAGATTGGACCTGCCGCACTATTCACCCATCTCATCATACGAAGAGGAGCGCGACGTCCTGGAGGAGGAGCTGGCCGAGGAAGAGGAAGAAGTGATGAGGAATAAGTGGGACTCCCAGGTGGAAGATGATGAAGATGAGGGACTGGAATACCTGGAGCTCAAAGATGAAGACGACGATTGATACGCAGAGTTATTTTTAACTGCACTGCAAAAACACAAAATCAGGATTTTTATGAGTTGAGTTGAAATAAATCAAATCCAGTTTCATCTGTAAAGCAGCTGAAAGGCGTCTCAAAGAGCTTCACGTCATAAAAACACAAAGTCATGCAGCATAGAATCAACAAGCCAACATCACATCAAGTCAGCCCTCATCAATAAATTGATCACATTTCCAATAAAACCAACCAGCTGCTTTCAGTCTGGACTTAAAGGATCTCAGGGTTTCGGCTGTTTAGCCGTTTTCTGGAAGTTTGTTCCAGATTTGTGGTGCATAGAAGCTGAATGCTTCTCCTCGTTTGGTTCTGGTTCTGATGCAGAGCAGAACCAGAACCAGAACCAGAACCTGATGGTCTGGGAGGTTGATCCAGCAGCAGATCTTTAATGTGTTGCTGAGCCGCTCAGTGATTCATAAACTAACAGTTTTAAAGTCTCTGAGCTGCAGGGAGCCAATGAGGATCTGTAGAACCAACCGGGTCCATGTGCTCCATCCTCCTGGTTCTGGTTCTGGTTCTGGTTCTGGTTCTGGTCCAGCAGCAGCAGCTGCAGGATTGATGTGTTGGACAGACGCTGCTGCAGGAATCGATGCCAATGAGGAGAAACGGAGCGAGAGGCTCTGAGACATCAGACCTCTCGACGCTCTGCAGGGGACAGAGGCCTCTTTGTGAGGGTCAGAGGTCAGAGGTCATCACTACTCCCAGGTTTCAGGCTGATCGCCGGTTTTAGTTGGAATAACTGAGGCTGTGCATTGACTGTAGATCTCCAGCTCTAGATCTATAGCTCTAGATTGTTCCTCTAGAGGTCCAATAGTAATGACTTCAGATCTGTCTCAGAGTCGATTCAGTGACTGGGCGGGGTCAAAGGTCACCTGCTGTCCAGCTGTATCATCAGCCTTGTCAGCTTTTCTGATGAACGGGAGGTCAGAGGTCAGAGGTCGGCCTGTAACTGCAGCAGTGATTTGGTTTGAAAACTAACTTGGAAATAAGGAGCTGTGATTATCAATATATATCAATATGTATTGATATATATTGGTAATTTATGAATATTGATAAACACAGCAGATTATTATTATTATTATTATTATTATTGTTTATTTCATGAAAATGTTTTTCATAAGGGAACTACAACTATGGGTTGCTAGGCAAACGGGCCGGGCCTGGCTGGTGTTGCTAGGTAACGGTGTGTGGAAATATTAAGGAATTATTTTATTCTAAATAATTCATTATTTTATTCTAAATATTTCATTATTTTATTCTAAATATTTCATTATTTTATTCTAAATATTTCATTATTTTATTCTAAATATTTCATTATTTTATTCTAAATATTTCATTATTTTATTCTAAATAATTCATTATTTTATTCTAAATATTTATTATTCTAAATATTTCATTATTTTATTCTAAATAATTTCTTCATTATTTTATTCTAAATAATTCATTATTTTATTCTAAATATTTTCATTATTTATTCTAAATAATTCATTATTTTATTCTAAATATTTCATTATTTTATTCTAAATAATTTCTTCATTATTTTATTCTAAATATTTCATTATTTTATTCTAAATAATTCATTATTTTATTCTAAATATTTCATTATTTTATTCTAAATAATTCATTATTTTATTCTAAATATTTCATTATTTTATTCTAAATAATTCATTATTTTATTCTAAATATTTCATTATTTTATTCTAAATAATTTCTTCATTATTTTATTCTAAATAATTCATTATTTTATTCTAAATAATTCATTATTTTATTCTAAATAATTCATTATTTTATTCTAAATATTTCATTATTTTATTCTAAATATTTCATTATTTTATTCTAAATATTTCATTATTTTATTCTAAATAATTCATTATTTTATTTTAAATATTTCATTATTTTATTCTAAATAATTCCTTCATTATTTTATTCTAAATAATTCATTATTTTATTCTAAATATTTCATTATTTTATTTCTAACTAAAAAGTGACATTGAATTTATTTTTGTCTAATTTTCAGAATATTTCCTCTAGAAAACAAGTTTGGTTGGATTTTGTGTTTTTGCAGTGCAGAGCGAAGCAGCATTAATTAATTTAATCGGTTTTAGGAGAAACAATAAAATTATCAATAAATTCTGAATCTATAAATAAAGAACTCAGAAATATAAATACTATATAGATTTGTAAACAAAGTGACATTTATCCATCATCCTCAGTTTATTTATGAAGTAATAATAAACTGAAACAGAGGTCAGAGGTCAGACAGTTTGACCTCCAGCTGCTCCCAGTTTGGAACGTTTTGTTTCTGAACGTCTCGCCTCCAGACCTGTTTGGTTCCGACCTTCGGGTTGGATCATCTGGACCTTCTGCTCCTGGAACAAACCTGGAACTGGAACATGAACCTGGAACCTGGAACATGAACCTGGAACCTGGAACATGAACCTGGAACCTGGAACATGAACCTGGAACCTGAACCTGGAACTGGAACCTGAACCTGGAACATGAACCTGGAACATAAACCTGGAACCTGGAACATAAACCTGGAACATGAACCTGGAACCTGGAACATAAACCTGGAACCTGGAACATGAACCTGGAACATGAACCTGGAACATGAGCCTGGAACCTGGAACATAAACCTGGAACTGGAACATGAACCTGGAACATAAACCTGGAACCTGGAACATGAACCTGGAACATGAACCTGGAACATGAACCTGGAACATGAGCCTGGAACATGAACCTGGAACATGAACCTGGAATCTGGAACCTGGAACATGAACCTGGAACATAAACCTGGAACCTGGAACATGAACCTGGAACCTGGAACATGAACCTGGAATCTGGAACATAAACCTGGAACAGGAACATGAACCTGGAACATGAACCTGGAACCTGGAACATGAACCTGGAACAGGAACATGAACCTGGAACATGAACCTGGAACCTGGAACATGAACCTGGAACATGAACCTGGAACAGGAACATGAACCTGGAACCTGGAACATAAACCTGGAACAGGAACATAAACCTGGAACAGGAACATGAACCTGGAACATGAACCTGGAACCTGAACCTGGAACATGAACCTGGAACCTGGAACATAAACCTGGAACAGGAACATGAACCTGGAACATGAACCTGGAACCTGAACCTGGAACATGAACCTGGAACCTGGAACATAAACCTGGAACAGGAACATGAACCTGGAACCTGAACCTGGAACCTGGAACATGAACCTGGAACCTGAACCTGGAACATGAACCTGGAACCTGGAACATAAACCTGGAACAGGAACATGAACCTGGAACATGAACCTGGAACCTGAACCTGGAACATGAACCTGGAACCTGGAACATAAACCTGGAACAGGAACATGAACCTGGAACATGAACCTGGAATCTGGAACCTGGAACATGAACCTGGAACCTGGAACATGAACCTGGAACCGGTCCGGTCCGCTAGAGGATAAAACTCCACCACTTAAATAATTTGTTTGTCAAACTGTATATTTGATCATTTCATGCCAAAAATACAAATCCAAGGATTCAAGGACTTGAATTCAAGGAAATTTCATGTTAAACTCAGTGACTTAAAGTATTTAAACCTTTGAACTTTTATACATTTTGTCTTTTCACAACCACAAATTTCACTGTATTTTCCTTTAGAGCTAAACTAATAATTATTTCATGAATGATTCGTTTTTGATTATTTTAACAATCGATTAATATTTTAAAATTCTACAAAATATCAAAATATGTAAAAGATGCAACAAAGGATTCAGCCTTTTGGTTTTCATTCATTTAATAAACATTTGCAGATAAAAATCCTTCAAATAGCAACATGAGAAAAATTGATCAATACAGAGAACAAGCAATCGATCGATTATTAACTGATTAATAATTGCATAGAAAAAGATGGCTTGGAGATTTTTAACCGAATCTGAAACGGATGTTTTGTTTTGTACCTTAATGCAGAATGAATATTTTAATGCTAATTGTTTCATTGTCAATGCTTTTTAAAATGCTTAACAACAATCTAAAAAGTGCGGCTTGCATTTGTATTCAGCTGTTATGTTTTCTGGTTTGCTTTTCCAGTTTCTCTGATTATTGATTTAGAATCTAACTGCTGTTTTCCACAGCTTGACCTTTGACCTTTCTGCTGTTTTCAGATTCAAACTTGACATTTTGATAGAAATTAAAACTAAATGTTTTAACACTGCAAAAACACAAAATCTTACAAGTACTTTGGCTCAGTTTCTAGTGCAAACATCTTGAATTTGAAATATGAAAAAATAACTTCACATGTAACTTTTCAGCAAAATAAATCCTTTATGTTGATTTTTTGAAAATAAATTCTGTTTTCATGGCAGATTATTTGACTTTAATCTCATGTTAAAGTGAAATAATCCAAGGAACTAGAACGGGTTCAGCAACATTAAGGATTTATTTGATTAAAATAAGCTCCTGTATTTTGCTGAAAAGTTCCTTTTTCTAGTTTGAGATATCAAAATTTTTGTATTTTTTGCAGTGAAGTTTCTATGGATGCTGATAGAATGGGTGCTGGCTGTAGCTGTCTGTGTTGCAACTTCTCTGCGGACAACTCTGACTGAAGATTGTTGTTAAATAATCTGGATTGTTTGTTTTCTGTTCTCATTCCCTGAACAACTGAAGCTAATAAAATACATGGAGGTTTGTGGTGTTAAAACGCTAAAAGGCTGCTGAATGCTTGACTAGGCCACAGCACCAGGTGCTTTAACGTCATTATTGAAGACGACCAGGAGGGAAGCGACACGCTCCGCTTGGCGGCCCAGTGGGATTTGAAGATGTGGGATTAACAGTCTTCAAGCTCGAGTTTTTGTCCGACACGTTTTTCAGGAATAGTTTTGCATCTGTGAGAGTCGCAGCTCTTTCCAAATGTCTTTTTACAATTCCCAACTTTTCATTCCAGTGTCATTTGACTTGTTGAGCTCAACTGACCTGTTAAAACAAACTCCTGTATAAACTTATAAAAAAGAAAGTTATTACATTAAACTCGTTTGTCTGGGGTCTGTTATTGAGATATAACATAAAACTACACTGAACAAAAATATAAAGCCCCATGTCAAATATAGGAGTTTTATGAACATTGGGTTATGCAATATATGGAGAAACTCAAACTATATTTCCACTAATTACTGATCTTCATGTCGGCGTTGATGAATCGCGGTTCAGCCGTTTGTCATGACTGAGGAGTCTGGTTCTGACCCAGTGGGCTTCCCGTAGGCGGTTACGGTCTGAGACTGTCTGCGTCTGTTGCTCAGACCAATAATCTCATCGGCTGCGTGTCGCTGGGCTGAACCCGTCCTCAGACGGACGAGCCGACGTGGACACCTGGTGCTGGAGCATCGGAGAGGATGAGGAGGATATGCAGTGCAGCCGTTTGTTGGAAACCGGCTCTTAAAGGGCCGGTGGTCCGATAACGGACCGGTCCGATATCCGATACTGAGCCGTGCAGCTGCTGCATCCAACATGCCGGCGGCTCCCACAAAACATCTCAGGCTTTATGATTCTGAAATAATGTGACATTTTGGTGCCTTTTGTTGTCCAGTCCAAGGATTGTCCAGCTGTTGCTCATTTTGTCTGATCACTCAGTGGACATGACCCACAATGCACTGCAGTAAATAACTCACTGACAGGAAGTTGGATTAAATATCATACACAGATCAAGAGAAATATTACTTTGGTACAATAAAATGTCAGCGATGCTCATTTAAAGTTGTTACCTCCACGTGGCAACAATATCTGACATGTTTATATGTTTGTTAAGTATATATAGGAAGCATTTGATATAAAATATTCATTTTCAACATGTTGGGTACAACGGTTTACAATACATATTATAAAAGTTCCTAAATTTCTGTTAACTAAAGTTGAGACTTTCAGAATAATTGCTAACAACATAAACTGCAGATCAGAGTATTATTGTCTGTTTCTGGTAAAAGTATGGGGAAAGAATATATATAAAAATTCCCTACTCATCCACCGCGGGTGGTTCTTATCCTCTGAACTCGGGTCCTCTACCAGAGGATATATAGATCTATATATATAGATCTATATATATGGTCCTCTACCAGAGGCCTGGGAGCTTGAGGGTCCTGCAGTATCTTGGCTGTGCCAAGGACTGCTGCACATTTCTGGACTGAGATGTCTGATGTTGTTCCTGGGATCTGTTGTAGCCACTGCTCCAGTTTGGGGGTTACTGCCCCGAGGGCCCCGATGACCACAGGCACCACTGTGGTCTTCACCTTCCAGGCCCTCTCCAGTTCTTCCCTGAGGCCCTGGTATTTCTCCAGTTTCTCCTTTTTCCTGATGTTGCAATCACTTGGTATTGCTACATCTACCACAACGGCTTTCCTCTGATGTTTATCCACTACGACAATGTCTGGTTGGTTCGCCATTACCATTCTGTCTGTCTGGATCTGGAAGTCCCACAGGATCTTAGCTCTGGCGTTCTCCACCACCTTTGGGGGTGTTTCCCACTTTGATCTTGGGGTTTCCAGTCCATATTCTGCACAGATGTTTCTGTACACTATGCCTGCCACTTGGTTATGTCGCTCCATGTACGCTTTCCCTGCCAGTATCTTGCACCCTGCTGTGATGAGCTGGACTGTCTCAGGGGCCTCCTTGCACAACCTACACCTTGGGTCTTGTCTGGTGTGGTAGATCTGGGCCTCTATTGCTCTGGTGTTTAGGGCCTGTTCCTGGGCGGCCAGGATGAGGGCCTCTGTGCTGTCCTTGAGTCCAGCTTTTTCCAGCCATTGGTAGGATTTACTGATATCAGCCACTTGGGTTATTTGCTGGTGGTACATCCCATGTAGGGGCTTGTCCTCCCATGATGGTATCTCTGGCACCTCAACCTCCGTTCCCTGTTGTCTGAGACATTCACTGAGCACATTGTCTGTTGAGGCTTTGTCCCTGATGTATTTATGGATCTTAGTTGTTTCGTCCTGGACAGTGGTTCTCACACTCACTAGTCCTCTGCCTCCGTCCTTGCGGCTCGTGTACAGTCTCAGGGTGCTGGATTTGGGATGGAACCCTCCATGCATTGTTAGTAGCTTTCTGGTCTTAATATCTGTGGCTTTTATCTCCTCCTTTGGCCAGCTAATTATTCCAGCAGGGTATCTGATTACTGGCAGGGCATAGCTGTTTATCGCACGGATTTTGTTCTTGCCATTGAGCTGGCTTCTCAGGACTTGCCTTATTCGTTGGAGGTATTTAGCTGTGGCTCCTTTCCTTGTGGCCTCATCGAGGTTACCATTTGCTTGTGGTATACCTAGGTACTTGTAACTGTCCTCTATGTCTGCTATTGTTTTCCTTCTGGGAGTGAGACTCCTTCTGTGCGGATCACCTTCCCCCTCTTTGTGATCAGCCGACCACACTTCTCTAGTCCGAATGACATCCCAATGTCAGTGCTGTAGATCCTGGTGGTGTGGATCAGTGAGTCGATGTCTCGCTCACACTTGGCGTACAGCTTGATGTCATCCATGTAGAGTAGGTGACTGATGTTGGCCCCACTTTTGAGTCTGTATCCGTAGCCAGTCTTGTTGATGATTTGGCTGAGGGGGTTCAGGCCTATGCAGAACAGTAGCGGGGACAGAGCATCTCCTTGGTATATGCCACATTTGATGGACACTTGTGCAAGTGGTTTGCAGTTGGCTTCAAGGGTGGTTTTCCACAGCTTCATCGAGTTTGCAATGAAGGCTCTCAGAATCCTGTTGATGTTATACATGTCTAGGCATTCAATGATCCAAGTATGCGGCATTGAGTCATAGGCTTTCTTGTAATCGATCCAAGCCATGCACAGGTTGGTGTGTCGGGT